TACTGAGAGTCTCTGCTATCATCCGAACACTCATTTGACGACCGGTATTTAAAAGATCACGAACACGAGACACATTTTGTCACTTTTGCTGGTTGACGGCCGTCCAGAGCGGGGCTCATCCTCCACCTCTTCCCGGCCATTTTGAAACAACTTTAACCACCTGGAGACTTGAGAATAGGAGATAGCAGAGTCCCCATAGGCTTCCCGAATCATTTGGTGGGTGACGGCGAGGCTTTTGTTCAGTTTAGCACAGAACTTGATCGCATAACGTTGTTCGATAGTTTCCTCCATTGCGCGTCGTGACACAGGCACTAACAGGAGGTTCACGGAAACAGCGATCCTGACGCTTCCAGAGGTCAGAGGAGACTGAGCTTGGAAGCGTTGTGAAGCTAACAGCCCCCCCCCTCCCCCCTTTCCCAACCGGTCCGAACGCACTGCGACTAGGAGGAGCGGCAAAAAAAAAAACAAATTGCATTACTTTCTGGACAAACCCTGTAGGTTTTTTCAGTCCGTTACAGGCTAACTGTTGCTTGGTAGCGGCTTCCAAAGGCAGACATTCCCCTTCTTCTGGGTTCCCAAACTGTTGCTGGCCTCAACTACCAGCTTCTCATAACAACAGCTTGCAACAACTGAACCGCAGCAGTTATCTAATTCAACAGCCAACTCAACTCAACTCAGCACAGTCACCTACCAGCCAAGCGACCCCACTCCACTGACTGACTGACTGACTGACTGAACTCACTCTTGGCTAACTGGCCTGCTTGTAACATCGGCACGGACCGCACAGAAAACACCGTTTCACTGTTACTGTTTACGGGCCGTTGCCTAGTAACGACAATTGTCTAGTTTGTTTCGCGGTCGTTGCCTAGCAACGTGTCTACACGCCACATTTCACCCTCCTTACGGCAGTTTTTCCAGAACGGACTGCAGGCATACCGTCGTTTATTTTCCGAGGCTTGTGGTTGATCGCCTCTGTAGTCTAATGGTCAAAGTTCCTGGTTACAGATCCAGAGGCCCGGGTTCGATTCCCGGCGCTACCAGATTTATTTCTTAGAAGTAGTGGGTCTGAAACGGAGTCCATTCAGCCTCGTGATGATAATTAAGGAGCTATTTAAAGGATAAAGTGGCTCCAGTCTAGAAAACCGAAATTAATGGCCGTGGGGATTCGTTGTGCTGACCATGCGGCACCCTCTATCAGGAAAAGATGGCGCTAACTTCGCCGACAAGCGGTCAGTATAGTTCGCTTGTGGACTAAAATCATGGAGCATGCTTGTATGGTTGTGGCGTCTGTGGTCGGCCTTGCCTTCCTTTCCCATGGCTCCGTTTTCACAGTGATTACTCTCCAACTGCTCCTGCTGCTCCCTCCTCAAGGTCGTTTGTCCTGAACGGTTCTTTGATAAGGTCCTAGTCAGTCCAGGTTGACCACCAGCATCAACTTTTCCGAGGGCTGTGCTTGTGAGGTCTCTTCTCACTTTTCAAAGGGTGCTGACCCCTCCACAACGTTCAGTCACTCACATCCCATAACCCAGTGGAAGTCCCGACTACTGCTTCACGTCCTCCAGTCCAAGAGTCTCTGACGTTCCTGTTGAAGGCCCTCTTTCTTCCTATATGTAGATGCTGTCTCAGACCTAGGTTCCTTATGTCATTTTTGCATTCCAGGCTCCTCTGTTATGTGTCCTTGACCTTTGAACCTTTATGGCTGAGGCCCTTATTCCATGCAGAAACTGCACAGCAGGTCAACTGTCCACGATGCCTTACTGGCAGACGCCGGTCCGCAGACCAGTCCTTCAGTACTCCGATCATCTTTGCTGCTGCCCCTTCGTTAGAGACTTTCTGATGCTCCACTATGGCCCCTGTTTCTTCTGGATTTGCCTGCATCTTTTTGAGATAGGTCTCCAACATGACTGTCATCTCTCCTTCAATGCACTCTATCATTTCTCAAATGTCCTTAACTTCTTGAGTTGATTCCAGCTTGGCTTTCATTTCTTCTTTAATCTTCTTGAGATTGGCAAGCTGCTGATCTATGCTGATGTGAATCTATTGGGAGATAACATACTAGATGCCATGAAGAAAAACAGAAACTCTCATTGATGCTAGTAAGGAGGTTGGTCTAGAAGTAAAGAAAGAGATAACTAAGTATATGTTGCTGTCTTGTCAACAGACTGCAGGGCAAAATCGTAACATGAAGATAGCTAACATCTTTTGAAATTGTGGCACACTTTAAATATTTTGGAAAGACAATAACAAATCAGAATTTGATTGAGGAGGAAACTAAGAGGAAGCTGAATTTGGGTAATGCTTGATATCATTGAGTCCATAACCTTTTGTTTCATTATCTGCTGTCTAAAAACGTAAAAAGTAGAATATATGAAACTATAATTTTGTCTGTATGGGTGTGAAACCTTGCCTCTGGCATTAAGGGAGGAACATGAGGGCCGCGCCAAAGCTCAAGCAGTTAGTCGCTGGCTTACCACTGCGGCAGCCCGGGTTCGATCCCGGGTCTGGTCAAGTGGGATTTGTGGTGGACAAAGTGGTGCTGGGGCAGGTTTTCTCCGAGTACTTCAGTTTCCCCTGCCAGTCTTCATTCCACCAATTGCTCCACTATCATCTGGGGCTGGTACAATAGGTCAGAAGTGGCCGCAGTACAAGGGACTTAGTCCCACCCCACTAGCAATAAAGAAAAAAGGGAGGAACATAGGCTTGAGGGGTTGAGAATATTTGGACTGAAGAAAGATGAAGTGGTAGGAGGTTTGAGAAAACTGCATAATGAGGAGGTTCGTAACCTGTACTTTTTGCCAAGTACAATTATAATGATCAATTCGAGGATGATGAGAGGAGCAGGGCATGTAGCACGTGTGTAGGAAGAGGAATGTATATAGGATATTGGTAGGAAATCCAATAGGAGAGAGACCACTAGGAAGACCTAGACATAGGCAGAGGATAATGTTAAAATGGATTTTAGAGAGACAGAATGGGATGATCTGGACTGGACTGGACTCATCAGGCTCAGTTATAGGGACCAGTGGAGGGCTCTTGTGTACATGGTAATGAACCTTTTGTTTCCATAAAATGTTGGAAAAATTTTTAGTAAACCGAAATTAACGGCCGTTGGGATTTGTTGGCGCTGACCACGTGACACCCTCTATCTGCTAAAGTTGGCACTAACTTTGCCATCAGGCGATGGTCGCTAGGTCGGTATAGTTCACTTGCGGACTAAAACCACAGAGTTAGTTAGTTAGTTAGTTAGTTAGTTAGCTGCACAACTAGCAGCTTCTTGAGAAGTACTCAGCTTCTTGTAGTTTGTTTTGCAGGTTGATTTGTATGGATGTGAAACAGTCATTTACTTCACTGAAGAAAATATAAGTAATTGTGCTGTTGTGGATATTATAAAACAAGGAATGACTTGCACAGGTTAGGATATTGAAATGTAAGAAGCTGCATTGTGCTGAACATGTAGTGGATATGATGGGGAGACAAGGAATACATACGATGGGGTACCCAAAAGAGCTTTTGTAGTACCACATTTTGCCGCTATGAGCGCATAAAGCTAACATTCCTGAGTCGATAAGCCAACTACCATTGCTTCAGAAGGTAAGGACTAGTTTCGGCAGAGTTTATAGTGACAACTGTTTTGTGTGATCATCGTTTTTGCAGTGGCTGATTTTCGTGAACAGCGTGCGGCGGTGAAATTCTGCTTTTTGCTCGGGAAAAGTGGAACAGAAACTCTTGAAATGTTAAAAACGGCGTACAAGGACGATGCCATGGGGAAATCTCAAGTGTTTGAGTGGTTTTCCCGTTTCAAAAATGGTGAAATGTCAATTGATGACGAACCTTCTGGTCGTCCTTCCACAGCCCACATGAAAATGTTGAAAAAATTCGTGAAATCGTCAAGGAAGATCGACGACAGACCATTGAAGAAATTGTGGAGCTGTCGGGAGTGACTTGGAGCTCAGTTCAGCGAATTTTGACAGAAGTTTTGGGAATGAAAAGGGTAGCTGCAAAATTCGTGCCACAACTGCTGACTGCTGAACAAAAACAAGGTCGCGTGGAAGCATGCTGTGCTTTGAAAGAAGAGTCCCGAAATGATCAAATTTTTTTTTTCAAAAATTATCACTGATGACGAAACCTGGTGCTATACTTACGATCCTGAATCAAAGCAACAGTCAAGTCAGTGGAAGACTTCAAGTTCGCCTCACCCCAAGAAAGCTCATCAGGTGAAATCAAACATGAAAACAATGCTGATTTGTTTTTTCGATGTGAGAGGAGTCGTCCATTCAGAGTTTGTTCCGCAGGGTCAGACAGTTAACCAGGCTTTCTACTTGGAAGTTTTGAAAAGATTGCACAATAGTTTGCAGCGGAAGCGGCCAGATTTGTGGCAGTCGGGTGACTGGTTTTTCCATCATGACCATGCCCCTGCTCACACAGCCCTGTCTGTACGACAATTCTTGACCAAAAATGGTATGACCCCTGTTCCTCACCCTCCATACTCACCCGACCTTGCCCCGTGCGACTTTTTTTTTGTTTCCTCGAATGAAAAGAGACATGAAAGGAAAGCGTTTTGCTGATGTTGCTGAGGTGAAGGAAAAAATGACGGAGGCGCTGTCAAGCATCTCAAAAGATGAATTTAGACAATGTTTTGAAAAATGGAATAAAAGACTAGACAAGTGTATTAGTGTAAGTGGAGAGTACTTTGAAGGGGATTGAAGGTTTGTGCTTAAAATTTGAATAAATAAGTTTAAAAAAAAAAAAGTTCGGTTTCTTTTGGGTACCCCCTCGTACAGCATGTTCATGTGGAAATGTTTGGAAAATGGTAGGTTGGAAAGGAAATGTGTGGATAACATCAAAATTGAGTTAGAGAAGCAGGCAGCAAATTTGAGTATGATGGAACTGACCCAGGATCGTGTCCAGTGGTGAACATTGTTGTTAGTCATGTTTAACCCTTGGGCCATCTACCATGGTGTTATTTTTATACTAATTAATATGTATTTAATCTGTTGCAGATGAGCCAGGAGCAAGTCACAATGCGTGCATGGTTCCTGTTATTTCTGTTGGTTCCTTTAGTTCTAACACAAGGGGAGAAGAAACATAGTATTCAGGATCCTTGTGCTCCCAAAACAACATGTCATGAATGTATTCAGACACCCACATGTGCTTGGTGCTCTGAACCTTGGGATATGACAGATCGGGTGAGTTAAAGGGGACTGACCAGTTTTAATCTGTAGTTGTAAAACAGAAGTTGTGTTCAGTATCGTGTATATACGGGGGTTTATTTCTTCAAATGTGTGCTGAATATCTGTGGATATATTGTGATATGAATTGCAACTGCTGTTGGTTTTGCTATAAAATGGATTTACTTGGCAGTAGTCCCACAAATAGCTCCACAGTTTCTGAATTTTTTTTATCAATTCCATGAATTTGCTATGGCCGAATGGCATTCATTATGAGTGTGTATTGCTCTGTATTGATGCTGCAAGTTATATGATGAAAGCCGGTACTGCTCTTATAGTTATATTTCCAAATATGACACATTTGACTTGCCTTTCCCATGGGTTGCACCGTGTTGCAGAAACAATTCGTGCAAATTTTCCTCTTGTTGACAAGTTGGTGTCTTCTGTGAAGAAGGTATTTGTGAAAGCGCCATACAGAAAAGAAGCCTTTAAAGCAGTAGCACTGAGTGTTCCACTTCCACCAGAACCAATTTTAACGCTCTAGGGCACGTTGCGTGTGCAGCGAGTTATTATACCGAACATTTATAAACAGTTAGGAATGTCGTGAATACATTTGATCCCAAAAGTGCAGCATCAATACAAATTGCCCAAAATATACTCAAAAACGAAGAACTAGAAACTAATCTTTCCCATATATCTGTTCACTTCTCTCATCTTCCATCTGCCATTTCCTCACTGGAGGCAAGTAATAGCAATACTACTTTGTATCAGTCGTAAAGTGTGTTCAAAAACCACTATTTCCAAATTGAATTTGGTTCCTGGAAGAGTTGGTGAAGTAGTAAAGGAAAAAGTAGACAGCATTCTTTAAAAAAAATCCAGAATATGAACAAATTTGTGAAATTGAAGAAATTTTAGCTGGTAAACATACTGAGCTGCCAAGTAAAAAATAACTGAAAGTGGAGCAAATAGCAGTTTTTGTACATGCACCCCTAAGTTCCTGTGAGGTGGAAAGAAGTTTTTCCCACTATAAGGACATCTTATGAGACAGTAGGAGGTGACTAACTATGGAAAACCTAAAACATTTAGTAATTGTGAACTGTAACAGAAGATAAGTTGAAAGTTTGTAGAGCTAAATGTGAGTACCATTGGTTTCTTAATTTTGTAATTAAATATGTTGGCTTTGTTGCATGATTTGTATTTAAGTATAGCTTTTTTATTGCAAGTGAATCATTCAGTGATTATATAAAATGAACTAAAATATTGATTTGTTGGTCTTAAAATCGTGTAATCAATTTTAATATTTGGTATAAATTTTTATGTGCATATTTTAGTGAATATTTCAGAAGTTTTTCATGCATAAATGTATACATATTTAAGGGATCATTAGGGCATAAAAATCCGGTCCCTAGTCATAAGGCATCGCTTGGGTCCCATTTTTAGGCCATGGTTATAGGCTATCATGCTCCTCTTGATCACTGCACTTGTGTAAAACAAGGAGGCAGAGGTGGCCACACCAAAGTTGCCTTTGTGCTGTCCCCTGCTTGTTTCTTGGGCCCCAGTTGTCCTCCCAGGTAGTATGCGGGATATCCTGTTGGCAGTCCCTTGACTGTCATCCACAGATTCCATTTTGGCCAGTGAATGAGATGGTACTTATGCATGTGAGTCTGACTGTTTAGTTAAAGGTGGAATAACCCCTGCTATTTGACGAGCAAATCAGAATCTCAAAATTTATATAAATGTGCTGAGTTGCCTTGTCAGATTTTCATGATTCATGGATAAGATATGACATCACTGTTTACTTAATTTTCAGCATATAAAACATGTAAAACATCTTCACTTCATTTGACTTTTATTGTGGTGTCATGTACTTCTGAAGTTAATTATAATTAAGTGTGATACATTAAGTATAAATGTGTAATTGGAATAATTTATATCACTCTGTATATGCATAACACATACTTCTGAATGCCACTTACAGAAGGTTGACATTTCCACTACCTTAATTTACATCAGACTTAAAGTGCTACAGACATAGTTTAAAAGCAACTACTACATTAATGTCATGAAACATATTTATTGTTTAATGTTAATTTATATGCTATGCAAAAATTCAAGAAGACAGTGTTATTATAGAAATGGTGTATTTCTGTAAAGAGGTGTTATTAATTGTGAACTTCCAGTTTCAACATTAAATATAAGAAAAACATCCTGAAGTTACCTTGTCTTCTTTTATTCAGTGTTTTCTCCATTGATGCTTCACTGAAGTCACATCCATATCCCCTGACAGTATTAATTACATCTCTCCAATTGTTTGAGCTAGCAAATTAATTATCTTTGCGTCCCACCTGTGCCATGTGTATAACAGCATACTTGTGTAATAGGAAGTTTCATGAGGTTTCGTACTGTACTAGTCCCTCAGGAGATCAATGGACAGTGTAACAGAAAGTTGCCTTGCACACAGAAGTGAATATAAGAACTGTGGTGATACTGAAGCAACAGGTGAGTGGGATAATGTATGACACTGGGTGTGGAGTAACAACCTAGAAGCTCAGAGAGAAGGAAGGAGATGACCCACAGTTTCTCAGATAGCAGGAAGGAATCCAACCTCAGCCCAAGCCACTCTCAACCAGATGCCACCTCCAGAGCCCACACCTGTGGCCAGTAACCTTCCCATTTCAGTGCAAGTGTAGTAAATATGTGAAATCACATTGTGCATGGGGGTTATGTTCTGGGTGTGGCATGTAAACCCAAAATCACATGATCAGTATTGTCCATGAAAATCCCTTAAATCGCCCATGAAGTACATGATTATGTATATACCCTGTAATGTGTATGTAATGTTGTGGCCACGTTTGAAACCAATGTACCATCTTTCAGTAAGCTCAACATAGCCAGTTTTCTTGCAGCATTAGAACATGTCACTGGTTCTTCAGTTGAGCACCAGATGAAGTAATTAGCTTGTGTCTGCGGGTCACATAATATGAAAAATACCTACATCTAACATTCGGGAGTCAAGGTTTATGTTTGCTCCAGGCTTATGCTCACTGAGTGGCATGGCATGTGGAATTGCCTGTGCCATGTGATCTTTTTATTTTATTTTTTGGCTAGCATGTATGGTTGAATTTGCAGAAGTTAAATGTGCTGATTATGTGACTCCACTGTAAAGACAATTTGTATTATGTGTTTGTATGCCCCCTTTTCAGCATCACCACCTGTCTGTGAATAACAAGCAAAGGTTATTAAAGTTTGTCTAATTGAAACTTGCTTCAGTGATTAATGGAGCATTAAGGAGACATACCGTTGACTCGATAACCAGGAAAATAGTATCAAACAGGAATATCATTGTGGACATAGAGTCATTCACTGAACAATTTGAATTTCACCATCCTGTAATGAGAAAGGTGTATACTGGCTTGAAGGGGAATCAAAATCAAAGGATTTGCAGGCAAGAAGGAGCAGGTGCAGGAGAAGGAGAATCAGTGAGGCCATATAATCAGTGACTTTGAAAATGTAACTTGGATTTGAGCTAGTTACAAGAAAATTTAGAACGTTCATTAAGTAATTTGAGGAGATTACAGGAAGATAAGTGGTGTATTATTAAAGCTATCCAAACAGAAACTGAAAAATTATATGTTAGGATTCAAACAAATAATGTATTGTTTCCTGAAAATTTGACTGGAAGGTTATCTGAAAGGGTCCAGTCAGAAACAAAATGACTCCAAACTTCACTGAGAAACCATTAAAAAAGTCAGTCATAAAGTATTAACTTTTCAGAGACAGTGAATTATCTGAGGGAAGGCAGCCTGATAATATCCAAATAAGGTTGCAGTACACTATCTTGTAGTCTGATTAAGTATGTCATAATGCAACACTACAGTTTTAAAAAACTGATTTCCCTTCCTGTCATGAAAAAGTGCTGTGATTTATAATTTGAGGAAGATTCCCTGCAGTTGTATGCACAGCCAGAACTTGGGGGAACCATGTGTGTACTGTTTAGGGAGTTGAGCATGGTGGAATCGCATTCCTAGGCCTATGTGCACCTTTTGTCACATTGAAACATGTAGACCTTCCCCTTCTGGAATATTTGGGTAATTGCTCAATGGACGAGGAAGTCCAGGATTGCCCATCGACATTCTAATGTTTCCTACAGGTGACATGCCTATGAAGAGACAGTAGGAAGCAGAGAGATTCAGTTGGTTTTTCGCTTCTCACTTCGGTGCAGTGCACAGCAGAGCAGAGCAGTTAAGCACATTCAGTGCAGTACATAGCAGTAGAGCAGAGTAGGCGTGAGTGAGTGAGTGAGTGCTGTGACTGTTGCTGTGAAGTAATGAGTGAACAAGGAGCTGATCTCAAAAGCATGAGTGTTTACAGCTGCTGAGTCAATAATTGCAATATATATTGATAATTGTTACAGTTTAATGACTCGTTGCTTTATTTTTAGCAATATCTGGAGCGGAAACGTTGCTTCCTACCAAGTATTAATGTGGATCAACAGTTCCAATGTAGTGCTGCTTTCATTGTGAACCCAAGCAACAATTACACGCTTCTCCAGTACAATGCTCTTACCAATGCAAGTGCAAGCAGGAAGATATCTCAAAGTAGCTATAATCATACCAGCAGCTACTGGTCAAGCCATGAAGCTGTACAGATCTATCCTCAGCGAGTTTCACTCAAGCTAAGGATCAGTGAGTAGAATATTTAATAAGTCTGGTATATACTGTATGTATTTGGGTACACCACATCCCCAGATAACCCATGTAACCCCCCCCCCTCCCATCCACAGTTTTCTGATTTCAGTATTGTAAACACACATCATTAACTTCTGGGGTGAGGGAATCTTGTTTCTCATTATTTTTTTTTAATGAGAGAGAATTATGATTCATCATGTTTTATGGCCTGTAGAAGGTTACAACAATGAAATAATTTGTATACAAATGTTCAGTTTTTGCATTCTTAGTCATGTGACAAGAATCCAGGCAATATTTTATGTGTCCTATAACATTGCATCATCAGCATACACAATCACATAGGACTCAAGGATTGAAGTCTTTGTCACCAAAACCTGCAGACCCGTCACCATGAGATTAGATTTGTGGTGTTGTATAGAAGATAATGTTTACAGACTGCTTGATGTTACAGTTCTTGGCATACTTATGGGGACATGTTACACATGTGATAGCTGGAGTCAGTGTTGTCATATTGTAGCATGCTTGTGACAGATTCCTATATCACCAAGTCATTTGTCTTAAGTAAGAGTGTGTGCATTGAACATGTCTAAATAAGAGATCTTAATGTGTCTTGGACCAGTGTTTTCACTGTTGTACCTCATAGCTCATTGAATATTGTTAATTATGATTGAGGCATTCATTTTTAAAAGCTTTGTGCTCCTCCTTTATAGCATTAAATATTATACAAGTATTCATTATTCTGGTTTCATTAGAGCTTACCCATTCTCTAATATTCTGTAGTAAAGATATTTGGATTGTATATTGAATTTTAAATCTGGGGTATGTAAGTACATGGTTCGTTCAAGTTCTAAGGTCTCCGATTTTTTTCTCACACAATACAAAAAATTTGAAACTTCTGTCACTTTTCAACGTAATCTCCCTGCAGCAGTACACATTTTTCACAACGTCGGTGCCATGATTCCATGGCCGCTGCGAACGCTTCTGTAGGAGTCTGTTCTGACCACCAAAAAATCGCTGATGCAATAGCGGCATGACTGGTGAATGTGCGACCACGGAGAGTGTCTTTCATCATTGGGAAAAGCCAAAAATCGCTAGGAGCCAGGTCAGGTGAGTAGGGAGCATGAGAAACCACTTCAAGGTTGTTTTCACGAAGAAACTGCTGCGTCGCATACGCCCGATGCGCTGGTGCATTGTCCTGGTGAAAGAGCACACATGCAGCCTTTTCTGGCCGTTTTTCTCGCAGTGCTGGAAGGAGCTTGTTCTTCAAAACATCTTCGTAGGATGCACCTGTCACCATAGTGCCCTTTGGAATGCAGTGAGTAAGGATTATGCCATCGCTGTCCCAAAACATGGCCACCACCATTTTTTCAGCACTGGCGCTTACCCGATGTATTGACGCTTGGATGACGCAACAGTACTGCTGATCACGACATTTCCGTGCTGTCTGATTTGAAGTTACATGACATGGGCCAGACTGGACAAAAAGGAGTAGTGGAAGTAGTGGCAGAAGCAAGCGAAGTGGAACCAGGACTACAGAAGAATGCAGGAGGTCTGCCTGTGAGGATGTAAAGTGACTGGTAGATCTTATGTGCAGTATGTGATAGTGAGTGACAGCTGAGAAGTCATCAGTGAAGACTTATTGTGTGAATTAGAAGACTGTATATGTGCTATAGTGCAGTGAGATTGGGAGTGCGTAATTCAGTGAGACTGAATACATGAGAACTACTGCAGATAGACTGAGAAGATTGGTGTGTAGTGAGTGTACTCGTAAGTTGTGTAAATCAGTAGCAGTGTTATAATTAATTGTAGTTACGACATGTATGTTGTTAATAAAACCAATTAACAATCCAAACCATGTTCAGTCACCTAAACATGCTAGAATACCCTCAGTTTTGAAAGTAACATGCATCCTGTTCTTTAAAGTAAGCATCTCTAAAAATGGCATATTTGGTTTCCAAGTAAAAAAGTAGTTTGTCAAAATAAACTTTAAGATACACGCTACCTTTATTGCCATAAACTTCAGAAGTAATTTTTTCTCTGAAGTATTATCAGATTGTAAGAACATCAGCTTACTGTTTTCACCCAGCAGGACAAATTTTGTCAACTTTGAATGAACATAATATGTGTACTGGTAACTGTAGCAGAACTAGTATACATGATTTGGAAGTAAAGAAAAAGTACTTTACCAATTAAATTTAGTGCTTGACGTTTGAAATGTTAACTTTGCAGATGAGGCATTTAGATTCACTGTCAGCTATTCACAAGCCCAAGATTATCCAGTGGATTTGTACTACCTCATGGATTTGTCAAAGTCAATGGAGGATGATAAGGAGAAGCTGTCTGTTCTTGGAGATCTTCTTGTTGAGAGTATGCAGAAAATAACATCTGACTTCAGACTTGGATTTGGGAGCTTTGTGGACAAAGTTGTTATGCCATATGTCAGCACTGTTCCAAAAAAGTAGGTAGAGTCTACTTTATGTTTAATGCTGCACTTTGTGCAAAATTAATTAGATAGCTTAATTAATGCTGTGGTATAGACTATCCTGAGCTGCTAACAGTTGCACAGAAGTTTAAAATATTTTCTGTTGTGGTACTTGAAGATTTATCAACCTCAATAAATAAAGCCCGTGAGCGCCCACTACTCTGAGCTATTTCAGTCCATTTCATTTGTTCACAATTTAATATCTTTTCAGATCCAGTTCAATCTTATAATCACCCTCATCCTTGTGTCATAGGTGGATCATGTCCATGAGGTTTTCCAACTTGAATCTTATGTACATAACTTTCTTCCCTATGTCCACTACATATCACCAAGCAAATTGGCTCTAGTAGTAACACACCTGACTTGTATTTGGGAACTGCCCAGTTCAGATTTCAGCTGGGACACCGACTATCCTGGCTCAGGGTTTCTGTAGCTTTTGTCAGTCTCATTAGGCAAGCGCTGGGACAGCACCTTAAATTTGGGCCATAACTGCTTCCTACCACATTCATATCAGTTCATTATTCAGTTCCATTCAGTCATGAACACTACACAAGTCTGAGATACCTATGGCATTGTTAAACAAACAACAAATAGATGTACTAAATTCCCAGTTCATCCTCTGGATTTCTTTACACATGGTGACCATGATCATTGGAGATAGTTGTAATTGTCATGTGTTAGTGACTAGACACAGGGTTTGGATTGATAATTGTATTTATTGAATGCTTATAACTCATAACTATAAGAGTCTCAGTGAGTACACACAGAACAGATCAGTACAGCTTATTTACTTACTCGTGGAGCTGAGACCTTTTGGAGGAGCTGCCAATTCTGCAGCTACTCAAGAATTTGCCAACATTTTATGGAATCCCGAAAGTTCATTACCGTGTTCATAAGAGCCCTCCACTGGTCCCTGCCCTGAGCCAGATCAATCTAATCCATACCACCCCATCCTATCCCTCTAAGATCCATTTTAGTATTGTCCTCCCACCGCTTTGGTCTTCCAGTGGTCTCTTTCCTTCTGGATTTCCCACCAATATCCTATATGTATTTCTCCTCTCCCTCATTCGTGCTACATGCCCTGCCCACCTCATCATCCTTGACTTGATCGTTCTAATTATACTTAGAGAAGAGTACATGTTATGAAGCTCCTCATTATGCAGTTTTCTCTAACCTCCTGTCACTTCATCGCTCTTCGGTCCAAATATTCTTCCCAACACCCTGTTCCCAAAACACCCTCAGTCTGTGTTCCTCCTTTAATGTCAGAGACAGTTTCACACCATACAGAACCAGAGGCAAAATTATAGTTTTGTATATTCAAATTTTTATGTTTTTGGACAGCAGACAAGAAGACTAAAGGTTCTGGACTGAATGGTAGCAAGCATTTCCCGAGTTCAGTCTCCTCTTAATTTCCCCCTGAATCAGGTTTTGATTTGTTATCATCGTTCCCAAATATCTGAACTGTGTTACATTTTCAAAACATCTGTTTTGCCTTGCATTTTGGGTATGAAACAGCAGCATATACATAGTTTTCTCTGTGTTTACTTCTAGACCAACTCCTTACTTGCATCAATTAAAGTTTGTGTGTTCTTCTTTATGGCATCTATGTTATGACCCAGTAGATTCACATCATCGGCATTGACCAACGGCTGATGTGTCCAATTTAATTTCAGTCCCACCTGGTTTTCCTATACCTTCCTAACGGCATATTCTAAAGCAAAGTTGAAAAGGAGTGGCGATAAAGCGTCTCCTCATTTTAGACCATTCTGGATAGGAAATTTACCTATACAGACTTTACTATGCGTTTCGTTTAAACACATTTCAGTCAGCCTAACTAGTTCCATGGGTATCCAAAACTATCAGAATATTGTACAATACTTCCCTCCTAACCGAATCATAAGCTTACTTGAAGTCTACAAATAGCTGATGTACTGTTTCATTGTACTCCCATTTTTTCTCCAATATCTGACAAATGCAAAAGATCTGATCTGTAGTTCATCTGTTATGTCAAAACCCACACTGATGATCCCCAATAATTTCATCTGTGAATGGACTTAACCTTGAGGGAAGAATATTGAATACAATTTTTATGAAGTTGATAGCAGTGATATCCCCCAGTAATTACTACAATCTGTTTTATCACCCTTCTAGTGAACTGGTACAATAATTGACTCCTTCCACTGATCAGGCAATTTTTCCTTATGCCAAATAGAAGTAATTAGTTTGTGGATCTTAGAACATAGTATTTCACTTCCTACATGAATAAGTTCTGCCAGAATTTGGTCGCTACCTGGCAATTTATACCTTTTCAATTTTGCAATAGCAATTTCAACCTCAAAAGGGCTGGGATCAGGTATTAACGGCTCAGCTGTGTGCATTTCTATCTGCCTAACATCACTGACCCTATGTACATTCAATAACTGAGAGAAGTAGTTCTTCCACCTTTTGAAAATGTTGTGGGAACCTGCAAGCAAATCACCATTCTCATCCTCATTAAGTTACTGCTAGGTTGGTAACCCCTCTTAAAGTCATTTATGCCTCTATTCAGGTCTCTTATGTTCTTGTTTTTACTCTTCATTGTGGGCTCATCAATTTTGTCTTTCAGATATTCCCTCTTTTTATTCCCAAAATGCCTGCTGGTTTCAAGCCTTATATTGTTCAGATTATCCCCATTTATTTCGCTTGGATCCTGTAACCATTGCAGTTTGGCTTGTTTTGTTTGTTCTAATAATTTTGAGCATCCTTCATCGAACCATGGCTTATGCTTCTTCAGTTCATAATAACCTAGACCCTCCTTGATGGAAATGTTGATATTTCTTCTAATAGTTTCCCAAGCTTTAACATCCACCTCAGTGTCCAAGTTTTTCAAAGCCATGAACCTATTTGAGATTTCAGCACAGTACTGCTCTTTACCCTCTAGAGCAAACAAAGAACAGAGTTCATGTGGAGATCACTATAGCTACAGTAGTTAGTGGCTGCTAACAGTGCACTTCGAGCCTGACATGCTGTACATGCAGAATTAAGAACATCCAGCTGATCTGTTTTTACGATATTTGGTTACTGTCGCCATCATGGAATGGCAGCAATAGTGACATTTTGTAGTAACTACGAAGTAAGGACTGGAATCTGCAGTTTTAGAACTCTTGTGTCACTGTATTAATTCACTATAGCAGGCATATTCAATGCGTCGATCGCGGGACGATTTTTGGTTGATCTCGTAGGCCTATAAGGAAATTATACGTGAAAAGCATGTAAATTCACTTGTAATATAATATGATAATATTCAGATTTTGAAGGGAAAATACGTATTAAAATAGTGTGTACTTTCAATGTATGTTGCCTTTACAACAAACGTCATGTGTCGTGTTATTTTTACCAATGTTTTTACTTAATGTGAGGTATGACAATAGGAGGGGGTGGTAGATCACTGGCAGTTTTGACACTAGAAAGTCGATCACAACCAGTTTGAAGTTGGACATGCCTGCACTATAGTCTTATCTGTTTTGTAGAATTAGTCTGTTGCTTATTTGCTGTTTCATATTTCATGTATCCTAGAGACATTGTTTTAGTACAGAGAGGGGCGCACAAACTTCCTTTTTTTTTTGAAGGCGAATAAAAGAAAAATTATTGCTGATAGACAAAATTTATGTTTAGCTAATGAAAGAACATACTTTAAAGTTTTAAATCGTGTAGTTTTAAACAAAATATCTTGAAGGGGTTGGCCACCGTTTTCTGAAGTTCCTTTCTGCATGTTCCAACATGTGCACCGGAATTTGGGCTACTTCCTGCCGAATAACATTCTTCACCTGAAGCAGGTTTGTGGGGTGATGTTTAAAAACCTCTGCCTTGAGTTATCCCCATAAAAAAATCACAGGGCATTAGATCAGATGAGTGCGCTGCCCACAGGATGTCACCTCAAAGCGATATGAGCAGTTTGGGGAACTTTGCCCTCAAAACTGTCATCAAAGCTTGGGCTGTGTGGGTCGTGGCACCATTCTGTTGGAACCAGACATTTCCTAGATGCATTTCTTAAAGGGCTGGTTCGAAAATGATTTTAATCATGTCCACATACCGCTGTGAATTGACAGTAACTGCATGATTGTCTTCTTCAAAAAAATAAGGGCCAATAACTCCAACTCTCGACAACGCACACCATACTGTCACCTTATCACTGTGAAGTGGCCTCTCATGGAGCTCTCTTGGATTGTTACCACTCCAATAGTGCATATTCTGCTTGTTGACATATCCGGATAGGTGAAAATGTGCCTCATCACTAAAGAAAACAAGTGCGTCAGGGGGTAAAGTTTCCAATAATGTTTTGCACACCGTTATTCGGTTCTGGAAATAACGTGGTGACAATTCTTGCACAACAACCATCTTATAGGGATGGAACTGAAGATGTTTGTGAAGAATTCGGCACATTGAACAATTGGATATGTCTAGGGCGACTGCATGTTTGCGAGCGGAGCGTCTTGGAGATCTCAAAATCGACTGTCGAACTGCTTCCACATTTTCTGGCGTTGTAACGGTCCGTTGTCATCCTGATGATTTTTTCATCACACTCCCGGTTGTCCTAAAGTTCTCTACCCACAAAACAGTCAATTTCCGGTAGGGAACTGGACCTCTGGGCTTAATTCAGAAGTGAGTATGGAATGCATGCTGCACCGCCATGTAGGAATGGTTGTTCGAAAAATTGGCTTCGACATCAGATGCACGCTGCTCACTCATCCACCTCATGTTTCCTACTGAGGGGTATTAGACAGAAACTTCTGCGACTGCTGCGTTCGCCAAGCCTATCCCCACTCTTCTGCGACCACCCCTCCCTTCACAATGCGTCTTCACAAAAAGAAAGTTTCTGCACCCCACCCTGTATATTATGTATGGTATTTTGTTAAAAAAGGAACAGGACTTTCTAGGATGAAGTTATGACTTCTACTTTACTTTATATTCTTTGGTCTGTAAGTCGGGCTGTAAATTAATAATTGTAGAATTTTATAATCCATCTGTGTATGGCTCATTACACTAAATTTATTATAATATTCACAAAGTTTGGCACTGTCACTGTGTTGGTAATTGCCAGACAAACATACAAAAACTGTTTCACCTAACTCTTGCTCAGTATCAGTAGTGGCAGGAAATTTGACTTTTGATGGTATGATGTTTACACTAGATATCATGAATTACAGTATGGGAGGCGGCTGAACACAGACATGGTATTGTAAGTCTGCCTTTCCCTATAAAATACGGAACGTAGAGTAGAAAGAAAGTGGGGTGGGGGGAGAAGGTATTATTTCTGTATAATGATTACCTTTTTTTATGGGTTATCCTACAGTGCTGACAGTAGGCAGACTATAGTATCATTGTAGGCTAATGAGTTAAATAATGAATTGAACAAGATTTAGGAGGAAGTGGTCATGATACTGTCATGGCATTTGACTGAAGGGACTGAGGAAACCATTGTCCTGGCTGAGATTCAAACTAAGCACTTCCTGTATATAAGTCTTAGACTGTTACTGCTACACCAACAGTTACAAAAACAGGATTAGTGTTCCTGATTTTACTACTCTCCATTTTCTACATATGTTTTTTGGGAATGAGAATGTAACAAGTGTGTACTTGTTCAACAAGCTATTTGTGTTGAGTTTTGTGTGTGAGCCCATAGGCCAGTGTATGGTTGTGGCAGTGAAACTTTGTATGTTTAATGTTGGGTACTTACCATATTTACCGAAATATCATGAAAGAACCAGGGAATTGAGCAAGAAAAAAATATTGTCCTTTGCCCTTTTACACCTACATTATCATTTTCTTATTATTTTGGGCAGTATTATTATGAGTAGGTTCTCTTCAAAACGGTTGAACTGTGTTAGCAAAAAATATTCTGAAATATAAATATAAAAGAGAGGATAACATGTTTCTTTTACAGTGTATAATAATTAATTTTTGTTCCTTTAATGTAACATGTGTCCAGACTAGCAGAGCCCTGCACTGGTTGTGAGGCCCCATATGGATTCCGAAACCACATGTCTCTCAGTGGCAATGTGCATGGATTTTCTGTAAGTGGTGATTATAGGCCCTGCAACAGATGCTAATGATGTGAAATCTTTTCTTACAGATCTTAGATAATAACACTTTTATACATGTTTTGTGGATCATGTCAAAGGGTTGTTTCTTTTGGCATGTCTGGAATTGGATCTTATTTCAGTGGATATTATTTCCATTGCTTATTTGTATGATGAGAACCATAAGTCAGTTTTATGTGATTTTGTTGGAATCCACAAATCTTTTTATTACAAACTTGAATGAATGAAGGACTGCATAAAGGGTCGGAAGGCTTCCAATATTACAATTTTCCTACGCACGTCCACTGTTAAAGGCGTTCTACCACCAACACAAATTTACTGCCTCATGATCATATGCTGAATGTAAGACCTTTATACTTTACATTATGCGACATATCCTCTAGCACAGAGTCTTCTCAGCAGGCTGAGAAAAACATACAAGCATTAGCTGAATGTGCTGTATGTGATACATAGGTGGGCAAAGAGAATCTCAGGTGCAGTAATGCGCATTGTCTCCATTATAGTTCATCTTGTCTGGATCCACCCGTAAATGACTCACTGTAATGCTTATCAGTTCTTTTCGTGTATCTGTACTCTTAATATCATCCAGAAGTCTGTTGCAATATTGAAATGAGATGGTGAAATATACGCCTGAACAGGTGATTACGAGAGACGGACATATCTCTATAACTAGTTTTTTTTTTGGAGCAGTACGTGACTTGGTCCCATCTGAATAGGCATATCATAGCTCAGAACAAAAGGTATTGGAGCAATATTACTCTTGAGACTTCTGAAGTACTCTTTCATGACTAGAAGGTTGGTATGTGGTGTGCCATTACTGGTACACAAATAATTGGACCCATATTTTTTGAGGAGACTATTAAGTCAGAGTAGTATGTCACTGAAAAATTTTGACCCTTACTTGAAGCTGTCATGGAAGAAGAAAAATACATGGTTATTTTATTCAAGATGGTGCTACAGGACACATTGCTCTCTATTCCATTAAATGAGGGGTTTGAAGACAGACCGTGATTAACACCATGCATGTTCTCATTGTTATAAATGAGGTATTAACGCACTGAGGACTGGTCACATGATATCATGCTTTTGGCTTTTAAACGTGGCAGACTGGTTGCATGATATCATGCTTTTGGCTTTTAAACATGGTGGACCGGTCGCATGATATCATGATTTTAGGACAGGTTAGGTTGTAACACACTATACCTTGCTCTGGCGCCACCCATGTTGCACACAATGGCATAATAAAACTCTGGAATGTCTTCTTACTTGTCAGTAATTTGACTTCGCTGTGTTGTTAACCCACTATAAACGAAAATGCTTTGCTGCTCTTTGAGATGTATGTATCAGCCAGTAGTCAGTGGTGGGGTATGGACGAGGACAGATTCTTCTTCGATGAGCTAGCTGGCCAGCCTTGTGAGACGCGTAATCACGGTGATTCAGAGAACGGCAGTGACAGGGGAGAACAAAGAATTGTGGCCACAGACAGTAAAAGTGACGGTAGCTCCGACGATAATGGGGGTAATAACATTGCGGGGACAGTGAAAAATCTAAAGAAATCACAAAAATCTAAACCCTGATTCAAAATTGAAATACAGAGCTTTTCTGATGAATGTGGCAAAGGCCTGGGCTACAAACTAGATGGTGGCGGCAGAACCAGAGTCAGACACAGACTTAGTGCGACTGGGCCCATCAACTTCCAACCCACGCAGGCCTCATATGGAGCCCCCAGGGCGAGTCTCGGGTGATATGCGGAAACATACCCTCGTGAAAATTGTGAAGAGTGAACATTCCAAGGGGACGCATCCTTCTAGGCAATGCCGTATTTGCACAGTTCACAAAAAAAAAGGAGTAGGTCTATATTTGCAAGTTCTGTGTAATGCCACTTCACAAAGGGGAATGTTTCCAGAAATATCACACCCTCAAGCACTTCTAGGAGCATTGGTAAGTGTTCTCCAAAAATTTTAGTTCATAGAATTAATTAGGAGATTTTATATTAATTTTTAAAGTGAACAGTGCACAAGTTAGGATAGCAGGTTTAATAATGGCGGCCCGAGGGTGATTTAAATATTTAAATCGCTGGCCCACAATGAGTTAATATGTAATTTACACTGAAAATAAACAATTCATGCTGGGTTTTTAATAAATCCATGAACTGACTTATGTGTCTCATGCACTTTGTTTCCTGTAGGCAGAAGCTTCTTCTGTTCTGCATCTGGAGCTTGCTGGTTTCTGACAGGTTTCAAGATGGCTTGCTTCCCCGTATTACTGTTATTAGACCATCTGTCATTTCTTTAAATTTCCTGTTGGCACTGCATCTAAATAAGCAGACATATTTTGTTAATATATGAGTATTCTTTACTTTAGATTTCAGATACATTTTAGAATATGTTTAAATTCACAGTCATACAGCATAAAGTGTCATGATAGAATGTATCATCATGGTGTTCAGTCTTTCATGTGGCTTATGTTGTCTGTAAGTCTCTTGCAGAATATGTAGATGGGACATTGTGTAGTATGATTGATTCCACTAAATGCCTGTTCCTGAGACACTTCTTCAGTTTTTTGATTGCTGTTATGACTAAATTCCATAGCAAAAGTATATGTTAAAAGTTTAACGTGCTGTGTTGTATTACAGTGCACAATGTTCACTGGTAGAGCAAAGAAACATTTCTTCATTTATGTATGATTACCACAGACTGACTCCTTGGCACCACATTTGAACACTCATCTCTGAGACATGCTGGCAGAAAGAAGAAAGAAATTATGTTTTTTCTTTCCAATTTGTGCCAATCATGTGCAATACAAGGTAGCAGCCTTGCCACAGGCTTATGACTCATCCATGTAGTCCTACTGACTGTAAATTAAGAAACAGAAGTGAAATGAAGCATTTCACAGATGCCCTGTTCTCAGGGGGAGTAGCAGGACTTATGAATATGCAGTACAAAACTTCTTGTTTTAGAGTATTCAAGTTTTGCAGATATAAAATTCCTTACTTTTCAGGTTAGTGTCCATATTCTTTTCTACAATTGCTTTAACTTTAACAGCAGTCTACTTCCATTTGGATATTATCTTTAGAGTAAATGTCTCACATGTTTGCTAGGCAGTAAGGCAAGTCCAGTCCCTCCTTTATGAACCAATGGACAGGTTTTTTTCTTGGTGTTTCCGATGTTCTGAGAAGACAAAGACTCAAAAACAAAAAATGAAATAGTTTGTTTCATAGAGTTGTAGCTAGTCCTGATGCTTCAAGGGATCATTATAATTTAAAGGTAATGTCATATTAGAAAAATTAACCAGTATTACTCTCAAATTGTAATTTTTGCTAAATTGGAAAAAGAGAATTCATTAGGGTACAGTCTAGGTTATAGAAGTATCTCTCAGTGGCACCATCTGATTGAGAAGGAAGGCGACTGTGGGTTAAGACCTTGTTACACTGAATTGTACAATGTGATATTTATATTGACAGCATTGATTGCAATATGGTTGTTGGTTTATGATTACAGTAGTTAATTATTCTTATAGAAAGGTATGTTGTTCCTTTTATTATAAAATGTACACAGTTGTTATAAAAGAAAGTTGAATGGTCTTAAGCCATCCCTGTGCCTTTTATCCTTCCAAGTGTTGAATATTTCTTTGTGACTGTGGTTGCTTGTCAGATACTTTGCTGTGATTTATCTACTGCACTTCCAGTACAATATATTTTAGTTGGGTCATCAGTTCCAGGTTGTAGTGCTGTGTGTTTCTTGTTGTATTGAGTGTGCATCTCTTTGTGTTCTCCAGTCTGATCGAACCGTGCACGGGGTGTGCTGCTCCATATGGGTTTCGCAATATCATGTCACTTAGTAACAACGCAAATAGATTCTCTGTAAGTCATGTTGTGTTTTGGCTGCTAACTTTCATGGCTTACACTTGTAACCAAAATTAAAGTTTTATGATTTCATTATGAATTTCATAACAATACTTTTTTTTTATTTGCAACCAATATTAGCTTTGCAGTTTGTTTATTTTTAAGAGATAACTTTTTGGTGAAATACTAATTTGGCATTTAGTTAGAAGACCTGTAACATTTTTGGTACTCATAAGCTAATTGGAATGTTGAAAATAACAATTTGATTTTTATAAAGGCAATTTTCTAACTTAGAAAACCACTGATTCTTGTGTCAAGTGCTACTGTATAGTAAAAGTTTAAGAATGCCATGTTTTAGTCAGAACTAAGCTAGCTGAGATGCTGAATGTGCTCTCATGGCAACATTCACACCGAAATTTCACACTGTACATAGAGCAACATGATTAAAATATGATGTAAGCTACCATCTAAGTGTATCTAGTTTATTTACTTATGCTAATTACATGTTAAAATCTCAGTATGATTCAATCTGACAAGACCATCTTCTGGGGGTGTACCACATCAAAGGAAATTTTGCAAATCATGTATGAACAATTTGTGTAAAAAACTGGTTTGAAGTATCTGAGTCATACATTTCTTGTAAAAAGTTAAAACTAGTATTATGTTAAAATTCATTGATATAGGTTGTATAGTTAGTGCAGTTTTATTGATTATGGTGTGATGTCCTGTTTTATGTTGCTATCTCATGTACTTCTTTTAGGTGTCAGTAAGGTGTAGTCTGAAATTTCATTGTGGTTCTTGGTAGGTGAAGAATCACCATGAAATGGCAGAGCTTCACTTTGTCAGTGCCTAAAAAGGCAGTATGAGACAACAGGATACAGCAGGGCATGCCATGCCATAACTTGTGAAATTACACTAACTATGGCCTAAATCAGTTACCTTTGAAAGTACTAAATAACGTTTTATGACTAACATATTGTGACATATTGCGCTATGAAGGACATTCCCCCCCCCCTCGGCCAGCGGTGGTGTAACATCGCTGCCACTGCTACAGCACCAGGCTAGTCAACGCTCCGCCGCGGTGACTTGGCAGCACTTCCCACAGTGATGTGGCGGGGGTACCGCAGTTGCTGCACGGCAGTAGGCAACTCTCGGAAGCATTCCCCAGCAACACCGTAAACAAGGCAACTAGGCAACAGCGGATGGTATAAAAAGCTGACTGAGCAATATGTGAGACAGTGTGTGAGCAGGAATGGCACAGTGCGGAACGAGCATCCGCTGAAGACAGTTGACATATAGCAGCAGTCCCGGGAAGAAGACCCGAACACATGGTTAGAAGATTTGATGCGATAATTTGTGATACTGCCGATGGCAGTAATTGGGAAACTGTGAATTGTATAAGTGTGGAGCAAATGTTCAATAAATATGCTATATCAAATAATGCGTGAAGTTATTTGTCACGTGTCACACACCCAACACGTGACAATATTTTACATTGTTTGCTTTTATATATGTGGTTTGTAAATTTTCCTTTAATATGGTGCACCTCTTGAAGGTGGTCTTGTAAGACCAAATCATGTCAGAGTCTTAACAATATCTAATAAACATAAAAAAAATAAAACTACATATACTTAAATGGTAACTTACATCTTTTTTTATTTAGGTACAATCAAAAGAGTAACAGATACTTCGCTGATTTATTTCAGCTATCGTTTGTAAAGTAATACTTTCTGATGTATGTGGTACAAGAAAGTGCGATCATGAAAAATCAGTCTTCAGATTTTGATGGATTTACACATTTTTAACGTCTGTTAATTTGAAAGCGTTTGGGATTAGGGAGGAAAAAATCAGTTTAAAAGAACATTTTCCAAATGTCATCTGTTTGTACATATGTGTGGGCCCTATTAGCAGATGAATGATTGAATGGATTTTATTTGTATCCAACATAGATCAGTGTTGCTGAGTGTGAACATTCTAGCTCTGAAAATAAGGGTGATTTTCTCCAAAATTCCTCATACAGTTTTAAGCAAATCTCAGTAATGTGGAGACCATCTTCCTGAAAAAACTGCAAATGTGGTATCTTCAGAAAAATAGTGGTACACCATTTAGCAGCCCAAGTGCATAATGTCAGTATTCTCAGAAATTACTTGATCAGTTTTCATTGAAATTTAATCTGTAGAAGCAATGGACCCAAACAGTGTTTTGGAGGCCAGAGGATCCTAAACATAAAGGGGATATGAATAACATACTCCTGGCTGAGGGTCATTTAGAAGCAGTTATTTTTTTTTCTTCCAAAAATGGCTCTAACGATTTTTGGTAATTGTTGTTTAGTATTGATATTCCCGAATGTAAGTGCACTGGTCGTATTTTCTGTAAAATAACGGACTGCTGTATAGGGACTATTACAAGCTGAAAATGATTTATATTGAAAATCGGTAATTTTACTGAAATACTGCTTTTAGGATTATAGAAGACTGTGTTCTGTGAAGCATATTTGAGAAAGTATGTGAAGTGTCATTGCACAGATTTTTTCTCATATTATGCTGAAGTAAAGCTGAGGGTTATGCAGTTTTTATATAAACAGAAGACATGCTTTTCAGCCATCTTTTAAACCCCAAATTCATAATGTTATTCATGCACTGTACGTGTATAAAACAGTTTGAAGCTTGTCAGAATAGCCCTACCTTGTTTAGCCTGCTCTATAATGTTCAGCTTCATCCAAAGCACAAGTGTGTAATGTATCAAAGGATTCTATGTTCATAATTTATCATCCATACTTTGTAAAGTTTTTATTTGTTATGAAGGTAACTGTGCACACCCATTCATGTATATATGAGAATAGGATCAGTGTACATACATTCTCTAACTCTCTTTGCTTAGATGCATACAGACATACCTCTGTAGTTGTGGGGTTACATTTCTCTGGTAATCATTAGTAAAGGCATGGACTCTGATAAATATATGTACCCTTTTAGTGAAGAAAGTAATATTCTTTTCCCTCTACACAGGTTTTCAGTTCCATGACATTGATAACAGTGCTTATATTTCTCTTGTGAAGAATGAGTATGTGAAAAGTACAAAAAAGGAAAGATGTTAAAAATTGTGAGATGTATTAGGTACAGCAGCAAGGTGTATACTGAAGTGGACTGTGACAGCATGTGTGGGTTGGATACTAAGAGTGGAAAATTTCTATCCCCTGTATACATTATTTGGTTCATAATGTTTATTTCATTGTTGTAGTTAGCTGGATTCCTGTTGTCCTTTGTCAAAAAATTTACTCTTCATGAACTAGATGAACATTATACGAACAAAAGTTAAGGTACATTATGCAAAACTCACAGAGCTGCACTATGGGAAACCTCTCGAAGAAAATTCTTAATATCATATTGAGAGCGACCATGAGTATGGAAGGATGATTGCTGTTTGCTGCTTGCTGTTCAGTGAAAGTACATTATTGCTGCACATTCAAAATCTTTCAGCTATTTGAGCTGTTATGGTACAAAACAAATGTGGGAATCTTACTTTTAAAAATTTTGTGAAATTCATGTCAATTTGAAGTACTGTGATGTAATAATGAGAGTTGATTTTAGGTGTATGTGTGTCTCTTGTACACCAAATTTCAGACATTGACATTGGAAAGATTGTAAAATAAAAATTTTATGTTGTAGAATGAAATTTTACAAACTAACCCCAGGATGCCCCAAGCCAGTTGAATTGGCTTGACATGCTGCCATTAAAATTGTCACATCTGCATGGATTTTGGAGTCTCTTGTTTGATATGGAAATGGTTACTTAAGTTGTGTATATATTTCTGAATAACAATTGGTATGACTTTCACTTCATGCATCCTATTGTGTTATAATATACAGTTTCTTTATTAAAACCCTCACAACACAACAACAATATTAAGGTCAGTGCCTAGTTTGGCTCTGCTACATGTTTCGGCTATTAATAGCCATCATCAGGCAAATACAAATACATGACAAAACATGTAGCAGAGCCAAACTAGGCACTGACCTTAATATTGTTCTGTTGTGACAGTTTTAATAAAGAAATTGTTATGACTGGTGAATGCTGAAGTAGTGTATAAAGGAAAGGAAAGAACTCTTTATACACAAGTGGCATTGGACTTTTGAGGGTTCTGAAGTTCCTTGCAATGCTTTCAGTGCCTTTAAACATACAATAGGTCTTGTCTTTCTTGAGTGGATGGCTTTAGCACTACAGAATGTAAATAGCTTGGTTCTAAGCTTTTTACTAATGGTTATGTGTGTTCAATTCAGGTTTAACATTTCTTCAGTAAGAGATTATCTAATGCATGAATGTAGGTGTATGTAGTTTATCTCATTCTTCCCATGTAAAATGTTCAAAAAATGTAAATTGTTTTCCTCAGTTCACTTCTGATAATGAAGGCTTATTTCTTCTTGTTGGTAAAATTATTACTTTGTAAGAAGGAGGTTAATTTAGGTAAGGCTCTCATTGTCATGATATTTCATAAGAACTTAAACAATTCTTTTGCTTTCTCTCACAGTTTCTTTCAAGCTAATTCCTTAAAATTAAGAGTTTTCTGAAGTAGGAAATTTACAGTTTATTCTTCGCCTTCATTCACAGTTGTTTTTGGAATATTTTATTGAAGTTAGGATTTGACTGAGATATGAACATACCTTATGAAGAATATTTGCATACAGAACCAAGCAGGGACTTTCAGAATGTATTAATTTGTGCAGAAGCTTTTCATGATGATTTTCATATGTAATTTGTTCAGGTATGCAGTTTAACCAGCAGTGGCATAAAGAAAGGCCCTGCAGTTTTGATCACTACCACTTTGTTGTAAATGCATATACCTGTTCCTCTGTAGTTTTATATGATGGTGATCAGGAAGATTAATTACAGTTCTTATTTGTAGAAGTTCAGTTTAACAAATTTGTGGTATGTGAAATTTTTCTGAACGTGATCAGTGCACATATCTTCAGTGCGTCTGTTTGAAAATCAGTAAGTTACTTTGTTACATGTTCATATACATGTGTTATAAACAGATTGTTAATCTGCATTCACATAACTACTTTCACAAGAAGATCTGAGTAGTATTTGATGTTTAGCTCAAGAGGAACATATTAGATAGAATAAATAAGGTACCTACTGAAAGCTGTAGTGTTTCATGTTTTTTTATGAAGAAAATATTAACAAAATATATATATATATTGTTCAGAAGCATTATTTAAGACTTGAAATTATGTGAGCATGCCTTAAAATTAAACAGTATTTTCATAATCACTGCTGTGAGAACCTCAGATTGTACAGAATTTTGCTTGATTTTAAAATATGAGAATTGACAAATTTTGAGCAGAATTTAATTATTCTGATTTGATATATGTATGTACATTTGTGCAGTAGTAGTGAATTTGAATGCAGTACAGAATAACTGAATGGATTCTCAATGTGCCTCAGGGTGAAGTACGGCGTGCAGCAGTGTCTGGCAATTTAGATGCTCCTGAAGGCGGTTTTGATGCTATTATGCAGGCTGTGGTCTGTAGAGAGAAAATTGGCTGGAGAGAGAAAGCAAGGAGATTATTGGTCTTCTCAACTGATGCTGGTTTTCACTATGCTGGAGATGGAAAGGTAGATGATAGTTACTCTGTAATACAGTAAAATCCCTATTGAATGTCTGGGGAAATCATATTCATTTTCACGAAATGGTTATGTAAAATTGCATGAAGGCTTCCTGTATAGTCTGTATTACTACAAATATAAGACACCCTCGAATTTGACATAAATCTTAATTTTTCAATGGGGAAAACTATGAAAAATATTTCTTATATTCAAAGAAATATGGTAATCTGATGAAACAGTTCCTTTACATAAGTGATGAAATGAATTATCTCTACAGTAATAAATACAGTTAGGTAATGATGTCATATTAACTGGTAACCACTTGTGGCAGAGCGTGAACATGAATCTCAGTTGTTTAGACAGCAGTCACACCAAATCAAGGCATGAGTTCTGTCAGTTCAAAAATTTCTTACTCAAAATTTAAGTACCCAAGCTATGGGAAAGTAATACAGCAAAGCCCTTATTTAAGGCTTCAGTTTGGGACTATTGGATTTGTGCACTAAACTGAGGAATATATGCAAAGGTTAATATAGCATTGGGATTATGGACTTGATATCATTGAAGCTGAACCTCAAATGGAGGAAGGTCTTATATTGAACATGAAATTGGGTGTTTCATTGTATGTCATTTATATTAAGTTGGCTGTGACCAGAAAAAATATTAAGTGGATATTTCAGGATACAGTTGTATTGGACAATATGTTTGTTCTTTATTTACATCTGTGACAGGAACAAGGGGAGAATGTTGTGTCTGTTTCACTGCACAGTACATCTGTCAAATGATACTAAGACACATGCTGTTTTGTGATACTTTATATAGTACCTGTGAATGGACATTGAACTTCCAGACAGATCAGAAGTTCATTCTGTCTGACCAAACCTCTCATTATATTTTGTCTAGGCAGGAAATGTTGATAATGTTATGGTAACTGTAATCACTCAGTTGCTGAAACATTGCTGACAGTAATTTAAAAACAAACCAAGAGGAAGATTTGTTAGGTTGCAGGTATGCATCAGCGGTCCTCAGTGTCAAAATTGATGGAACTCAAAATTCACATCGTGTGCATTTCATTGAATACATTCAGTGAATTTTATGATTTTGTGTTCTAATGTTTTTTAACCCTAATTTGCAAATCCAGCTTGGTGGTATTGTTAAGCCAAATGATGGAGAGTGCCATCTGGATACAGGCGGAGAGTACACTCACTCAACGCTACAGGATTATCCATCAATATCACAAGTGAACCTCAAGGTTCGTCAGAATGCTATCAATGTGATCTTTGCTGTGACATCTGAACAGATCAGTGTTTATGATCGGCTCAAGGATAATGTTGAAGGAGCCTCATCAGGAATGCTGTCAAATGACTCTTCCAATGTAGTGGACCTCGTGCGAGAGCAGTATGATGTGAGTGGTATCCCAAAGTAATGTTTAATTATAAGTTGAAGTTTATTTCCATTATTTCAAACCTGTTATCTTTTACTCCCTGTTGGTATCATTAAGCAGTGTATACATATTCTAGTCCCATTTTGCAAGTAGTTGTTTTTCTGTGTATCTTATCTTACCAGTAATATTTTATAAGCAAGGGGACAAACTTTGACATTTAGTATGAATATATATCTGGCAATATGATGTCAGGTGTTGTATATACCAAGGTTGTGTAAGCATATAAGACTGGAACAGTAGGTGTTACACAGTGTAGAATCCTGAAATTTTATGTGATAAAAGTATTCTTCTATTGTTAAAGTAATTCTTGTTGATAAAAGAGTAATACAAGGCCAGCTGAATATACTTTTGACTTGCTATTTCAGTTCATGACTATAACTGATGCACTCTTTGAGTGTATGAAATTCGGTGTATTTGTAGATTATAAACTTCTCCATATTTTCTTTGAAACATATTTCTTGTGTGTTGAAGTTATGGACAAGATCATTGTTCGACTCTTTGAGGTCATGATTGCATAAATTTGTATACTAGTAACATAATGCTAGCACAGATATTTCACAATGCTCATAGAAGTAAGGTCTCTCTTCTGGGGTATAATAGATATATCTTGACATTTTTGAGGAACATGTGGCCTCTGTCTTCAGGATTGAGGAATAGTTTGAACAAGAAATCAGCATGAAACAGGCAACAGGTGACATGTTGCTCTGAAGTGTTGGTTGATTTTCAGTGGACTACATGGCAATGTATTCCAGAAGATAGAACTCTTCTGTGAGAACTTCAGATCCTACATTTATGGAAGTATGTAATATTGTGTCTGAGTTAATGAACCAGATTTTGTTGCACATTGTTGTCTGAATAGAGATGACTTTTATTCCAGAAAATTTCTTCCTCTGTTGAGATGAAGGATAATGCAACGACAGATGCAGTTAAGGTGACGTACTATTCTGCCTGCAAAGGAAGTGGGCCCGCTATTCAGACAAACAAGTGTGATGGCCTGAAGGTTGGTGATGTTGTCAAGTTTGAGGCAGAGGTGGAGGTTACGAATTGTCCATCAGATCCTAGGAAATGGAAGCAGATCTTCAAAATCTATCCAGTTGGAATTAATGAATCTCTCATAGTCGATCTGGAAATGCTTTGTAGCTGTCCTTGTGAAGAGGAAGGTGATCAAGTGAGTAAATCATATGCTGTGTGGTTTATGTTTAGAAAGTGAGTTCTGTACAGGAAGAATTTTAACATTCATATATGTGAAACATGCTGATATGAAATTGGTTCAGTAAATTTTCAGAATATTTTTTTTTAATCTCAGATGAAGGGGCAATCATTGTGTTATGAATTGGAAGAATGCAGGAGGAAGTGGTTGTAGCCTGTTGTGGTAGTAAAGTAACTTATAAAACCACAAAAGACGTGTTACACATGTTATACCTGGATTCCATTTTGAAATATGAATCTGGGATCTACCAAGCAGAACAGGAGTACAAGCAATTCAATTGCAACATTCACTTGTCCATATTTAATAGTGAGTGATTAGCCTTTCATCCCATATTTTATGGAAATATGGAGTGAGAAAGCAGTGTGTGTATTGCAGATGTGCAACTTTGATATGGGGTTAGTAATGTACACCAACTGTAGTACCTCTATAAATAGTAACGTATTGATAGTTGTTCCAGATTTACTTATCTTACCCCTTGACACTACGACCATTCATGTGTGGACACTGAACAACGTGGATCCACAAACTATATAATGATGTAGCTTAACACTGCATTGGGCACTATAACCTTGAAACTTGACGTATATAATTTTGAATAACCTTTAATATTCATACTTCTCTAATACTTTTAATACAGAGTCAATATAATTATATAATANATTATATAATATATTTTTAATATATCCTTGATATTTTATACATATTTTTTATTTCAATATTATATTTAATTCAAGGCACAAAATTCTATATAATAGAGTATGATGAGTTGCATGAAATATGGATCCGTTGGGGAGTTCAGTGACCCTAGATGTATTTTTATGTTAGTGCCTGATGATGGTCCTATGAGACTGAAAAATGTAGCAGGAGATAAATGTGCAATTGAAAAATACTGATTGATTATATATCACTTTGTTGTGGTGATGGCTAACCTAACCATATACACATAGAGTTGGTTGTCAGTCGAAATTGCTTTTCCATTTGTGCTCCAGTATGAATTTTCCATCCCACATTGAGAATCGTGGGACCGTACTCTATGAAGCAAGGTCTTCTAAACTTAGCTGTAACTGCATATCAATATAAATGAGTATTGTTTTAATCAAAGCTTGGTACAGCAGTCCCAGTAGTTATAGGGTAAAAGGTTTCATAATGGTTTTGCCGTTGTTTTCATTACAGTGTGTGTGTTTATATTTCAGTGGTTTATAAGAAAAGCTGAGCAGTGCTCAAAGTTTGGCACATACAAGTGTGGCATTTGTGAGTGTGATAAGACACATTTTGGACGAACCTGTGAATGTGATAGTGATAATATTCATGGAGCCCCTGGACTCCCTGTGGGTGGTTGCCGACTCGACAACACATCTGTGGTTGACTGTTCAGGGCGAGGCACCTGCGTATGTGGAGTATGTGAATGTGAGACAAGAGAGAACCCTGAGGAGGTAAGACCAAAATCCTTGCAGAAGGACCAGACTAAAATTTCATCCATTAATGGTGAATTCATTTCAGAATTTTTGTACATAAATATGGAGGTTCCCAAAAGAACTTTTTGGTGTCATTTTTATTGATAACTGTTCATGCCAGAAATTACATTTATGTCTGATCACATGCATCCAAGATGCTGAAGGTGAGTGTATAGAGAGTAGTAGTCTTTCCAGTTTTGTGAGTGTGAAGTGTAGTGTCTTACTTTGAGGGAAGAGCATAAGTCACAGATGAATGAAAGAAAAATATTTGAATCTGAAAAGGATGAAATGAGTGGTGTAAATTAAATTTAAATTTGTTTCTGTGCTTAATTAAGCAACATGCCAAGATGACATAGAGGGAAGTTGAGTAATAACTGTACACATTCATAACCTGAACACAGGATGGAGTTGAGCGGCCCGCTTCACTCACTGGCTGCTTTACCACAGGACAAGTTGCACCCAGTACCCATTGAATAGGAAGCTGGGTGGCCCCCAGTGCTGGTTTGCATGCTGTGGGAAAAAGACAAATCTTTTGCCATGACTCCTTGGTCATCCAGCCTGTAGCCTAGTGAATGTATTAGTTTTCCTGGCTTTGAAGTAGG